GGTGATTTGGAAAGGAAGTTATTGACAAGTTATTGACAATAACAAAAATCCTTGTTATTACCGTACTTTTCGGAGTATAAACACACTTTTTCCCCCTAAAAGAGGGTGGAAATGTTGGTGTGTCTTATACACCAAATACAGCCATTTTTGGTCTCCTGAAGCCCTGCCTCTTTAGTCCCATTTTTACTTTTAAAAAGGGCCAGTTTTTCGCAAAAACAGGGTACACACAGGCTTTGGGAGGCCTGCAGAATGCTTCAGATGGCCGGGGAGGGCAAAACCCTTTTTTTTTCTTGTTTACCTCTTCAACATCTTGGTGTGTTTTATACACCAGTGCATTTTATAGTCCAAAAAATACAGTATTTCTAAAAATACATATAGAAATGTGCAACTAAGCTTGTAAAAAGTCTGTGAAATTTGTGTCCTCTGATCTAAACCTTTTAACACTTTTTAACACCACTAAAATTTAACTATTATAATCTGATATATTCCTTTATTTTATAATCTGGAATATTATGTTTTGGAAAGTTACTAGAAACATCACTGGGTTTAATGGCTGTCTGATAGTGAAAGAACATATACACAAACAGACACACAGATACACATATACACACACACATATCCAGAATGAACAACAGTTTCATGTCCTGAAATATATATATATATATATTTCTTACTTATCTACAGAAAAGTTTATATTGTGCCTACAACTTTCAACAGTTCTTTTCTCTCACAAGCATCCAGAGAGAAACTATAGACTATTCAACCATAAAAGAGCTGGTTGATTTAAATTCATTATTACTTGCCTTAGCAGCTTTGTGGATCAGACTACCCTGAACCAGCCTGAAACCTGCTCTAAGTCTATGAAAGAAACCAACTTCAATTTTATTTTGCATTCTCAAAAATTGTAACTCTGCATAAGGATAAGATAACTAGTGGGGATTTCCTTGGCTTTCGCTTTTCAAGCACCATAGGAATCAGATATTTATGCATGGTTTTAAATAGTGAACCAGTGTTAGAAGGTTATCTTTTTAGTTTGCTTTTGGCTTAGTTAATATATAAAAACGGGGGGACATGGTTTGTTCAAGATTTTCTAATTTATTTTTTGTTTGGCTTTGTGCCATTTTGAGTTTGAACAAATCTACTTATATTTGTTTAGCAACAACAGTTGTAGGAATTCAACAGATAAATTTGACTAGTTTGCAAGACTGTTTCTGACTTGCTTCGCCTGACATGGAAATTTTCTGGTATGACAATTCTAGGATTCTTTTTCGACAGATACATCAAGAGAACTAAAGCAGGTGTAGACTGCTTTTAACTCCTGACACACACAAACCCACAAAGCTCTTGAACTAATTGCTTTAGATATGCCAACTATTTATTTATGCATGGTAGTTCTTAGTTTCAAATTATTGAATTATCTCCTTTGTCCATCTCTTTGTTGGTTGAAAACTAGACAGACTTAATGAAGTCAGCTGTTTTTGGAGAAAGTGGAATGCATTTGTCAAAACTTCCTTGAAAACTGGCTGTAAGATGCAATTCTACCAATATGGCTTCTCCATGTAGGCCCATATTTTGTAAGGTAGAAATTGCAAACATTCAGATTAATTTAGGAAATCACATCTTGCCATTATAGGATCTCCAGTCCACTCATGGTCACTCATTAAAAAGTAAAGATTTTTGGACTTCCTTCAAGTTTAGAGAGGAGGAAATTATTTTGATTTCAAAGTTACATTCACCTTTAGATAGGTGATATTGCGCCCTTATAAAACGGAGTCAGTCCTTCCCTGTCTTAGATACTGAAACTGGTTGTCAAAATTTTCATCTAGATTTTACAGTTCCAAACAATAATTGCCTTTAATGATGATTCAACTGTTGCTTTGAAACTTTTTTAATTTCTTCAGTCTTAAATTACTTTTATCTCTCAATTTTTTTATCCTTGCAGCTTGCTGTGCCTCACAGTGATGAATGGACTCGCTTTGCACGCACTTTGGTAGAGATCAGGGCCAACAGAGCTGACAGTGAAGAAGAAGTCACCATGGAAATAGCTGCTTAGAAGAAAGCCTAGTCCTTCCCTTCTATCTGTTGATGAAACCTCCATTGAGCATTAGTTCAGTATACTGTTGCTAGCAGTGTTCCTGCCAGCATTACTCATCAGGTTCTTTCTTACTAATCATACTGTGCTTAGTAGCCTGGAAATATTGCTTCATCTCATATTTCTTCTAGAAAAGTTATAAATAAGAAAAAAATGCAAGGGAATTATGTTGCTGCCTAGTTGATTACTTTAGTAATTGCAATAAACAACCCCTAAGTAAACTTGAGTTCATAACCTTTTATTTGGCCCAGTCCGGGTAAATCTATATGAAGTCAGATATGATTGGATGCAGATGTGATGTGCTTTGTGACTTAGGACTGGGCCAAAGTTTTTAGATGTGGTGATTCACATGGTGACTTACATAATGAATGGATGTACTAAATAAATATTGCTAATCATTATCTATTCCAGTCTGCGCATGGAACATACTTATTTGAAAGCAGTAAAGCATGTGTATAATGAATCAACATTCATTGCATTCCCATGCATGTTGGAATCATCTTTAATTCTAAATAACAATTACAGGAAGTCACTTTGTAATAAAATGGTAGCTGTAATAGGTTGAATAAATCAAACAAATCAATCAATACCTATGATTTCCTGGCAGTTTAATATTTCATGTTGGTCACTGATACTTGTTACATATCAGTAGTATCCATCTGAATTGGGCTGCAGTTGCTGTTACTACTAAGTCAATGTTGAAAGGTGTACTGTGGCCATGTGTTACTCTTTTTGTATTAAACCTATCTCTTAACAGTAAATGAGAGTATTTGAATAAAGAGGCTTATATAGTTGTAACATGACTTGCTCTTTTTTGCTTTCCTTAAGAAAATAAATCAAATTCATTCTTACATATTAAAGTGCTTCCAATGTCCTTCTAATGTCATCCTTAGGAAACAACCTGAATGGAAATTAAATTATTTTCCATACCAGGATATTTTTTTTTTGTAACAAGGCTTGGTGATTAGATATACTTTTTTCAATCCAGTGCCACCACAAATCCCATGAAATTGTATAGGGTTGGCTCAAGATAATTTGCTCCATGTGCCACTTCCTACCCCAAGTATATTTCACCCACAGAAACCAATTACTTCAAACTAATGTGGTAGATTTTTTTTATTCATATAAGTTAAAGCACAGTACTAGTTACCTGGCCTATCTTCCAACATGAAGAAACAAAACTGTCTTTGGTTATTACTTCTAAGTCATCCAGCACATGCCATTTTAGCTGAGTAATTGCTTAATAGTTGAGCCATCTCAAAAAAACCAAGCCTTACACTTCCAAGATTGTCTTGGTGTTTGTAATCATGTACAGAATATTTGACTGAACTACACTTTCTTCCTGTTTCAAAGTTTGGCCATAACTTGAACCCACTATGTGTCTCATTCTAAAACTGATGTTTTGACCTTGAGCCATATGTTCTGAATCAATCTCATCCCTGGTCTACTTGGACTGGTATGTAGGAAATATGTTTTCTGTTCAGACTGTTATCTGACACATGGATTTGGAAGGCCTTTCTTCACCAGTCATGGGTTTTCATGTAGAAGGCATGACCAGTCAATGGAAAGAATATGTGTTTGCTCCAAAAGTGCAAACTTCAGCTCAGAACAGAACTTAGCAAGTCTTCTGTTGTAATCAAAATTTTAAAACTAAATTGCATCCCCAGAATCACACTTTAGGTTATAATTTGTGAATAATCTTGCAGATGCTATTATTGAAAGCTTAAAAAATTAAGAAACACTGCGAGTCTCTGTCTATTGTTAGATCCATTTTGTACTGATGCTCTAGAAAGGTAGAAGAGATTCTCAGATTTTTCAGTAGCAAATAAAAGCTCAACTTCCAATAGTTTTTCTTCATTTTGGTTCTCAACAGATGTGGGACATGAAGAAATGAATCTTTATATAATAGAACCCGACAACCTGTTTTAGATATTTTTGTTTCAAGAAAAGACAAATTGTACTCTGAAAAATCAACATGCTGTTAAATTTCAGTGGTATAATTCTAAGGATGCAAGGGCTATAGAAAGTAGCCCTTGGGGCACATATTTTTCCATCCTATAAAGTTCTTCATCTGGCCTGCAGACAAAATGTAACAGCACCGTTATGCATGTTTGAAGCTGCAAAGAAAGCACTTGTGAAGTTTGAGTCTTTCTGCCCATACTTCTCAATTCTTAAAGATTATCTCATCAAATTGTACAGTTTTAATATTCCAAGAACCATAGACTGAAAATTAAAAATTAGACATCTGAAGGTGTTCAACATCTATCAGAAGAAATTTTCAAATTATAAGAATTCAGTACTTTTGTACTGTATAACCACATAATTTAAAAGTTGTACATATCCACTGAAGAGATGGAACAACCTATACACATAAATAGTTGCCAAGTTAGAATTACAAAAAAAAGTTTTATTTTGGTACACATGTATACAGGTGTGCGCCCGCGTGCTCACCCACCCACCCACCGAGTTTTGGAGATTGTTCTTGATTATTTTTACTCATCCAGAATATGCGTGTATGACTTCTGGATTGGAAACTACACTCCAAAAAGCAGTGACAGAATAAGGACTTAATTTTAATTTTCTAGATTTAAAAACAAATACTCAAATCTGCTATCATGGTACTATGCAATGTTATATAACTCTGCTTCTAACTGTATGCTGTATCAGCTCTGGGATTTCTTTTCCAAATCCCACATACTTATATATGGAAATGTGACCACGGACACAGCTTTAAGCATACCATTCCATGCACAGAATCTGAGTGGATAATTTTCAAACTAAATGAATAGGCAAAATATTTGTAATGGTTGTTATTATTAAAAAATCTTTTAATTAAAAAAAAATTAGTAAGAACTTTCACAAAAGTATTTTCTACTTACAGCGCAGTAATTAAGGCAAACAACATTAATACAGTGCTTGAATTCTTTTATTGCATTTATTTAAACAAGCAGCAATTATTCCTAAGTGCATTACATAAAAAGTATTCCAAATATCGGTAGGGGCAAATTCCAGACCTGTTGGGTGCAGCTTCCATTCACATCAATGCAGCAAAGCATGGAAAATGATTGAGAGTATACAACACTATCTTTTGGTGGCTCTCGCCTGGATTGTGAAATACCATTGCGGAGAATAACGGCTACATTCTTCCACAAAGTGCATAGATTATGGAAATCTACATTTCTTTCCCAGGTTTATCCAGTCATAATTCTGTTAGCAGGAATGTAAATTGCTTAACATTTGTTGACATGGTTTAAATTACAAAAACACAATGCCCATAAAAAGCTCAGTAACAGTCTTCCTCAACCTTGGCAACTTTAAGACTTCAATTCCTTACTGGCTGGGGGATTCTGGGAGTTGAAATCCAGTCATCTTAAAAGCTGCCAAGGTTGAGAAACACTGCTCTATAATATAATTCAGGAATCCAGTGTATGTAAAATACATTTTCAGAATTCAGTACGGCTCACTGATACATTTTGAATCCTACTGTACATAGATTGAATATGTAACAAATGCATAATCTGATGTTTAAATAATTCATATAGCATCATGATCTCTGTTGCATATAAGAAAATCCTAGATACATGCATATGTAAACGTGTGTAAACTGTATACACACACATACACAATATGTAAATGTATATAAGAGTATATCCAACAGAGCCATACAGTTTGTTTAGAAAACAAGTATTTGCTTACCTGAAGGCATGAATCTATCATGCCTTAAACCAAAGGTATATTTCCAGGGACTGCCTGCACAGGGCAACTGCCTGATCCCAGACAAACCAACAACTGTATTAAGCCATTGCAGATGAGCTACATTCACATATTTGTACAGTAAAGTGTATTTTTGCCTTTAGATCTGAAGTGCTGCTCAGCCCTAATACCTATTTATGCAGTCATGATGGCAGAACATCATCTGATGCCAAAAGCCATATTCTACCATCCCAACGTTCCCTGTTTGCCCACCAACAAGAAAAATAATTATAAGTTTTCAAAATCAGCCAAAGTACATTCACAATTCCAAGTATAAGTAATTGGGGGAGGGAGATACATTCATGGGTCCAAATTAACAACTATTTTAGCAGAAACGTGACAGTGATCTGATATAGGAAGTGCATATCTAAAGTGGAAAAATGGGGAAGGAAAAGAAATTTCTAGATAAGGCTTTGCTCAGACAGAAAAACTAAAGGACTGAAGTATAAAGATTGATCAGACACATGGTTCTTTTGCCAACTATTACTTATAACTATGTTGTGGCTTATAATGCTGTTCTAGAGGTAGGAGACATCGATGTAAACTGAGGTAAATAAAGTCCAAATTTATTTTCAATTCCTGCAAATGTGGCAACAGCCAGTTTGTAACCCCCAACATGGTCAGGGTTAGGTGCAGGGAGGGTGATTCTAGATTTAAGCACTGGTTCAGATCCTGCTGGTTTTCTGCAATAAAAAAAAATTTTTTTTAATGCAACCTTTAACTAAAATACCTTTGAAAACAAGTTCTTTCTGTAACCCATGCCCATTTTTCTCTTTCCTCTTACTAGTGATCCATACCCCCAGATCATAGAGTAATTTGAATATTCACTTTGAACTCTGAAAGTATGTTTTTGCTCTTTGATACCACATTCATTGTCTAGATCTCTCCCACTAAAACAAATTAGTTAATGTAAGGTACTTACACTCCTCCAAAATCAATGTAAAACCATCGCTGCAGTAGCTCATATGTCACTAGGGTTACTCCAAATTGAGGGGATGAACGAAATACACGAGCTGAAAGTAAAATGAAAAACAATCATATTAACATTTAGGCTTATAGAAACACTCCCATCCCTTAATAAATGCCCTCAAATGTTACCTGCAGCTCCTTTCCAAAAAGCCCTTGGACCTTCCTCTCGTAAGATCTTTCCAAAGCAATCAATGACACCAGTGTAAGTTGTTTGTCCTGCCCGGGCTGCTACCTGTAACCTTGTCTTTATCACATCTGCAGGTGTCACTAAAGATGCAGCTGGCATTCCTGAAGAAAACAAGGGAAGAGAGGAAACCATTTTCAAAGGAGTCACTTGCATTCTCAGTTGGATGCAATTTCATATGATTCACCTAAGAATTTTGACAAGTAAAATCCACATTTTAATAAAGCTTTTTTTTTAAAGGAAGCTATCTATTAAATTCCCAGTGGAAATAACAAGACAGAAACATATAATCTAAATCACCAGCAAGACTGAGTCCAAATATGTAAGATCATGCATCACTTCTAAAGATTCCTAACATGTAAGTAATCTTTAAATGTTAAAGAACTTAATACAATGTTGAATTATATACCACACCTTTGAAATTTGATTATGAGAAGTTGTAGTTGTATCTAACACAGAGGATGTAATTATTTGAGAAACTGAAAAATGAAATTCTAGATGTCTAGGAATGATTGTCAGACATGTGTGAACTGTTTTGGTAAAGGCAACATTAATCAATACTAAAGGCAATACTAATCAAAAGATGCACCAATAGGTATTATTATGTCAGAGATTATGTGATATTTTACCACAATGTTTTATATTGTTAATATTATCACAGTAAATTCATTAGTAAACCAGTGACTATTGATAAGCATTAAATCTAATCTACATTTTATTTCTTTCTTCTTTCTTTGTTTGTACTTCTAATTTTTTTTTAAATTAAAAATTGCTCTATAACCACTCCCTGCTTAAAATTTGTAAAAAAGTCCTCCAGGAAAGATAATTGTAGCAGTCACCATAAACTATTTTACCAAACTATTTAAAAGCCACTGATAAAAAGAAAAAATAGGCAGTCCTTCCTAAAAAAGTGGGTTAATAAGTAAAGAAAACACTTAGAAATGCTCCTGGATCTTAAGCCTGCTCTTGCATGGTTATAAAAATTGGTTCACTCAATTCTTGTGGATGGGAAATTTTGCTTGGTTTTGAATATGAAATAAAATATTCTACTGTTCCATTTAACACTAGAAAAAATTCAGGAGAATTTTTTGCTTTTTTCCTCTCTTTCCATCTGAATATGATCATGATTAATATTTTTTGTATCTTTTTGTTTGCCTCAACTAAGAGAAAATATTTGTGAAGTGAAGAAAAAATAAATAAATAAATTAGCATTTCTTTGTCCTGCACGTTGAACTCATCCAATGCATTGAGAAAATATCACAGTTGGCTGTATTTTCAATTAATGAATCAGAAATACTTAAAGCATATTTAAACTAGCAAGTTTAAATAGTTTTGAAGTTTTAAAATAGGACTCTTCTGTGATTTCTATTATATATCATCTGCGCAAAGTTCTGGAAATCAGTCTTTTCTTCACCTTGCTTCTTAATTTAGGTATGTAGCTTATTAGAAGTCTGGACAGAAACAGAATGTTGTACATAGGAACATATTTCCCAATTCAAAAAATAGTAAAACTCCCAATTTAATTGTGTTTTGTATTTCTACGGCCAGACACATATATTTTAACATCTAACATCTTCTGCAAAGTCTTGCTGGATGACTATTGCTGGCAGATAAACAATAGAAAGCAACAAAGATTTAAAACATGAACTCCAAACCAGTTCCTATGTAGCATGTCAATGGAAGGCAAAAAGCACATCACATCTAATAAGTTTAGGATGCCAATCAACATTTTTTGAAAATAAATATAATGCAGTTTGCCATATTTAGAACTGAATAGGGAGGGGGAATAAAAAATAAAAGATTGTACAGTATTCCGAAAACACTGTCTCTTCTTATTTTATTACTTTTCCATTCTGCAGCGCTTCCAAACCAATGTGGTCAGACAAAGATGCATAAATCTCCTTTGCTTTTCCCCCCTCCTCCTTCTCTCTAAAGCTTAATAATTCTGTAACCTTTTTCATCCAAACCACTATGGTTTGGCTACAGAACACAATCTCACTTTTTTTTTAGTAGACTGCTTTGAAAGAGATGTAAAAGTGTGTGTTTATCACTAAAATAAGAACTGCTTGTCCATTCTCCAAAACCAAAAGAAAGAAAGAAGAAGGTACTGTGACTTTTCACATTTAAAATCCGATGTACGCTCTTTTATGTACAAGAACCATTGCTCTTAAAACTTAAAACTTTTTCACAAGCAATTATTCTGGCTTATGCTTATTAGAAGCTGGACTTTAACAATTTGTTAACACTTGAAAATACAGCAAGACATATGTCTGTTCACAGAAATTGTGCCATCACATAAATGTGGTTGGGATAAGAGTTAGTTGATGTCCGCAAATGTTTCTAAGATATTCCCCTTGTAGAAATCAGCAAGTGCAATTAACTTTGTGATGCCATGGCCAAACATTTTGTTTTCTGCTGAATTACCAACTACATCTATCAGGAGGAATTCCACAATTACAAACCAGGAGTTTTCAAACCACATTTAACTGTGTTGCTATTAATTGACTTTAATTCCTGTAAAGCAGAGATTACATAGAGAACTAAAAGCATACTAAACACACACACACTCACACTCACACACACACACACACACACACACACAAAACCCAACACTCCCTCCCCCCAAATGAACTTCTTCTTTCACTATTACATTAATGGTATATCCCGAACAGCTTCTTGAAGGTGACAGGTTGGGATCTAGAAACCTGTCTTCAAATCCCAATCTGATTATGGAGTTCAGTAGATGACCAATTCATCAACTATCTTTACTGATGTTCTCACTGTTCTCACTGTTCTGAGAATATTTGAAATGTTGTGGAAAGATGGCTCCTTATTGGTGTCTTGCAACTCCAATCCCTGATGATGAATTCACTGCCAAATCTTGTGTGAAAGTAAGCTCTATGATCTTCCTTTTAAGCAACAGCATGAGTCAAGAATTGTAGTGGTATCTTGTATCACTTTAACGGCTACAGCCAATAGCAGATAATCTACGAATCAGTCAAAAAGCCAATTTGGCTTCATGGAATAATTGATGTAACAGATTCTAGAGCAGTGTTTCTCAGCCTTGATAACTTCAAAATGCATGGATTTCAACTCCCAGAATTGAAGCTGGCTGGGGAATTCTAAGATTTGTACTCTACACATCTTCAAGTTGCCAAGATTGAGAAATACCGAGTCTGAGTACAAAAACCTGCCAATTAAAAAATAACAAAGACAATCTAGTATTCCAAACTATTCAGTATTTTTTGTCACAGAGCTCAAAAGTTGAAATATCCAGGAATTAATGCCTGCATTTCAGAAATGAGAAAACAAAAATGCTTCTATTGATTTTTTTTTTTTCCATTTAGAAGACAGAATGTAAAAAGTTCAGGAAAACATGTTTTTGAGGGCAGTGGGCAACACGATGCCAAAAAAAAAACAACTGATTTCTGATGATTCTATGACTCCCCTTAGCAGAATCACAGCAGGACAGAGAAAAAGTATTTACTGTTTTCCTTTTCATTCCATGCAAAAAAGGCATGGTTTCTCCATAGCCATTACATTTCTATTATTTATCATAATAACAGGAGTTTTTCCTTTCTGAACCCATTAGAATGCAGCATTTCAAATATACTGTCTAAAGTAGCTCACCCACTGTTACTTATACATGATAACAATCACAACTTTTTTTATTTTATACATAACTTTTCTCTTCCTTCCCATAAAACAGAAAGTAGCTAAAATCAATGTCATTGAGTATCCTTTTCCCTGTCACTGTACATTCTTGAGACATATTTGGATTTTATCATAAATTGATATTTAAAATTTTGCTAATATTACAGGTGAAATGTCTTTTTCAGTCAATTTCCCCTCTCCTACTCATTGCCTGTATCATTTCAACATTTATCTTATTCAAGCATTCAGAAGATTATTCTGTATATGCACCAGAAGCCTAGTGGATTCTGAACATAAATTCAGTTTTTTTAAAAAATTCAAGATATATAAATATATATATATACATCCAACACAAACCTGGAAATCAACAAAAGGTGCCCCCTTTTGCTGATAGTCTCTCAGTATTGCTGACAAGGGCATGCAGATGATTATATTGTTGGTGGGCAAGTGAAAGAAAATGCAACAGAACAAATGCTGGTGAGAAGGCTTCAGGAAATACTGCATGTCAAATTTTTCAACTTTCAATTTCAAAACATTGGGGGTGCTCAAAAAGTTGTGACATGCCTTGGAGCATATATTACAAATATCTTGTAAAGATATTTTGGTTATTTTATCATAGGTCAACAAGCATGGCACAACAGGTAGGGTTGATCATTCCTGAAATGACCATATTACATTACACAGTAGTAGGTGAGGGCTGGTGTTGGCTAATCGCCAAGAGCTAAGAAGAGTCAGACCTAATTCACAATTGATTGGAGAACCATCAGGATATTGCAAGAGACCAAGGTCAAATGAATATAAAAAGATTATATAATATATTGATAGAAATAGATTCAGAAACGGAATTAGTTAAGGACTGTATGATAAAATGGGCACAAAACATTCAGGAACCAATAATGATGGAAACTTGGGAAAAAATATGGGTTAGAAATGTAAAATTTACGCAAGCACAAAATTTAAGAGAAAATTTTTACAAAATGTTCTATAGATGGCATTTAGATCCTAAAAAGTTGGCTTGTATGTATCCGAATTTGCAATCGAAGTGTTGGAGATGTGATTGTGATGATGCCACTTATTATCATATATGGTGGACTTGTAAAAAAGTTAAAGCATTTTGGATTAAAATATGGTGGATTATCCAAAATATTCTTAAAAAGAAGATAAAGTTTACTCCACAATTGTTTTTGCTGGGTATAATTACAGATTGTATGGTTATAGAGACTAAATTGATTTTAAATTTAATAACCAGCAGCTAGACTTCTGGTGGCGCAATATTGGAAGAAGGAAGATTTGCCTACTATTGAAGAATGGACATTAAAAGTAGCGAATCTGGCAGAAATGGCAAAAATTTCAGCATATTTGAAAGATCATTCACAAGAAAGAAATATATCGAAATGGAGAAGATGGATTGATTATATTCAAAACAAATATCGGACTAAAAAGTATCAAA